TTTCACGTTTATTGCTTATTGTTTTCTAGGCAGCTGATGAAAATCCTGCAAAAGGTGTTCTCATCATATTATTCAAATGAAAGTGTCTACTCACAAGTAGTTTGACTTTACTTAAGTAAATTTCACATTCTCATAACAAATATAATTAGAATGAACAAATATTTTGTTCACTACAGTTTCTTCGGGCTCTGGAGTTACAAATCCATAAATATTAGCCTACACCAGCCAGTAAACGCAAATTAGGATTAATATCCGAAACTGTATTGTAGTTTATTTACACGATGGAACAGTAGTCAGTCAGTTTTGGTTATCGTTTAAATGCATATAAAAGTATATCGTCAGATTTCGGTGAATTATGTAATCGCCTTGTCAAAAGTTGAAGAACTCAGATCACTGACTGGACAATAACAATTTTTGGGTCAGCTCATGCTGAAATCTTGTAACCAATCAATCGAATCCCTACAAACCAACACTTGGAAATCTTCATAATTATCTATAAAATTACTGAGCTCAGTAAAATCCTGAGAATTTTTAACGGCACTTATCGTTCCGTCGACTTTAGAGCTGATGTTGAATCAGTAGGTGAATTATCCTTCTTAGGTGGCCAGCTCCCAAGATGAAGAGATGCACTTTACAAAGACCGGTTTCTCACAAACTAAAATGGAACGGACAGTTAACAAACTTTCACAGTTTTGTCCCAGTGAGGAGAAAAAGAAATTTCGTCACCTCCCTCCTGCGAGAAGGATCTGTTGCATTTATATCGAAGATACATTGATTTAAGGATTTGAAATCTTTCAGAAATACGCTAATCAACAATAGATATCTAACCTACTTTATCAGTAAACATCCAAAGAGAAAGACCGATACTCCGCGAAACCTGGATGTGCCGAATAATAATTCTGAAATTCAAGGGAGATATAATTAGTGAAGTTGTCCAAAGCTTTCTGATGAGAGTAGTTTGATAAAAATCACCCTCCTCACACATGCTCTTGCTCACTAGAACATCAAAGATCAAATCCTGCTGATGGCATTTTCAGTTAATAATGTTCTCTGAGCTGGTTGGTTTAGTTGCGGAGCTTTCGTCGTCCTTCTGGACAACATCTTCAGAGCAATATTTAGCATAAAGTGAAATGATTTAAATTTCTTAATGAGTGATATAATTGCATCTCCTGGTAACTATCTTTACATATGTATTGACCATTTTCTATTGACTTGGATTTTAAACTTTCTGGTCACCTGATTTACTTTTTATTAGTTGGTATATATTTCGTCTATATTAACGTGCTTGTTAATTACATTTTCGTTTGAGTACCAGGCTTCTAGGAATTCCCTGACTGCACTTTTGGTGTTTCCTTTGTCTAAGATGGCATTTTCATTATGTATTTACCAGTCCACTTGTTCATGTGGAGTTAAGTACATAGTCCGTACCAGTAGAAAATTTTATAAAAGCACTCATTAACACCTACCAGCTTTGTTGTCAAAAGGCGAAGACAGAACAGTTGACAGGGCGATTCGAGAGCACGTTAGTACTTCTAGTCAGGCTGCATCAGCAGAAACTTCATTTAAAGTCATACATAAAACAGTACGATCAAGCTGTTTAAAACGATTTCCCTCACATATTCAACATGCGGTCGAAACTCTAGTATTCCATACGGAAGAAAACCTGGAGTTTGTTTAGAGACGTCCTGTTCAACCTCTTTTATTACTATGGTCTTAATGTCAATTTTATTTTCCTTAATTGCTGCATTATAATCTTTATGTAGCCCATATATTTATTTTTATTTTTGTTATGTCATTTCACTACATTGTTCTCTTATTTCCTATCACTCATTTCAAAATGATTAATCATCAATTGGCTAATTAGTTGTCGACTCTCTCGATAGCGTACGATTATTTTTACTTTTCTTCACACATTCTTATTTCTCATACACTTAATAATAATAATAATAATTCTTTTTGCTTTATTCCAAAAACAGTACCAATGATACAGCAAAGAATTTTCAGCATTCAGTACAATATTGCATCTAATTTACTCAAAACTACGAAAAAAATAAACATTACATAATAATAATAATAACAAAACGTTTTTATAGCAGCTATGTAGCAATTACAGTATGCGATAGGGAAAAAACATATGCATAAAGTATATAAATGTAGCAATAATAGTAATAACTACTAAAATAAAATAGCTAACTTATAATTAAATGATAGAAAGGGTGACACCATAAAATTACAGAAAGATGAACAATGAAAGGGTCGATTCACTTTGCTAATTACATAGTAACTTATATGTTTCACGTCTAACAGTGTCTCCATCACATAAAATACGGGCTTAATACGGTATTGTAGAATTTTTGTGCTTAGTGGTGCGAGCATATAACTTCTTATATTGACTTCTCGTCCTACCTGATGAGATGCAAGAGGATAGTTGTGAATAAAGGGGGTGCAGGGGGTTTGACAGAACGGCCTTTGCAGATTTTTTACAGTATTTTATATGTCTGTCGACTATAATATTGGCGAGCTCACGCAGTGGCATATCACAAACCCTACTCACAGCATTTAATACCCTTCGTAATATGATTTAGTTTTTTTTTGAGAAGCACAGGAAAGATTAATGGAGAGCGATAGGTTACAATAGGTAAAATAAGTCCCAGTTAGTGTCTTTCAACATGCATCTGAGCTTGCGTAAGTTGTCTTGTGAGTAGCATCTCCGTTGAAATTTACTGTAGAGGTGAGAGAAGACATCTTTATGTGATTTGGAATATATTTTCGGCAATACACGTATGATGCAGTGGTCGGAGTTAAGTAAAGGAGCACATTTGCGAGCTTCATATATACCAAATTCATTAATGAATACTAGATCCAGTGTTTTACCAAGGCGAGTAGCAAAGTTAACAATATCGTCATGACCAAGTGATATAAGGAAGGAGCAGTAACAGGAATTAAAGTCACCAGTCACTATTGATAAAGACTTCTCGAAGCAAGCTGCAGCAAAAGTAGTGAATTCATCTGCGAACATAGACAGATCCGATATGGTACAACCAGGGGAGGCATAAACATTTGAAATGTAAATGAATTTGTACTTTGACAAGTGTTTCGGGCGACCGTACACACCAAAGTTATATGGAGGAATTACTTCAAGCTG